TACCATTTTTCTCATTCTGAAATACCTTTTAACCACACAGGAGTTAAAAAAGAAGAAAGCCATGCTGCTGGTCTGTGCTGACACTCCCTGGGGGCAGCTCTCTGGGACCTCACCAGGCAGTTCTGGGGATGCAGGTCTTACTTTCCATTGCAATGAGAAGCTGAAGGAAAATTCCATAAAGGAGAGTTTACTGAGTAAAAGGAACCTAATGGAAGCAGTAGGCTGAAAAGGACATGGTGGGTCAGAAGGTCTCCAAGGAACCCAAAAAACCCATTTGTAGAGAAGTGCTTCAGCCAGTGCTTTGTGCTGGCTGGGCGGATCTGAACAGCCAGACATGTTAGGAAAGAATGGGGAGAGAAGGGAGGAAACGTGCTAAGGAGGTGCTAAGGTTGGTAAATGCTTTGTAGTATTTAACATTTCAAAATTTGTCAAATGGAATTGTCTTCTAGCAGAATGTATGGGAAGGCTGTGAGAACTGGGTTGGAAGAATATACTATAAGGAGCTCCTGCATTTGCAAAGCAGATGAAGCAAGACCTTCATAGAGCTTTTTGTCTCTAATATACTAAATCTGTAGATACAGCTACATTCTGTATAGGAATATACAGAATACATATATGGATGTTGCTGTTTTTCAGCATATCTTAATGGTTTTATTGCAGTTTGCTCCAGGCTTGCCTTAAGGGTTAGGCTGGGAATGAGGAAGAACTTCTCTAAAGAGCAGTTGGGCACTGGCACAGTCTGCCCAGGGGGCTTGGTGGGGTTGGGTTGGGTTGGGGATCCCAGAGGTCTTCTCCAACCTGAATGGTTCTGTGATTCCGTGGGCATGTTTCCTGTGCTCTGGTGGCAATGAGGGGTGGGTTTGGTGGACATAAATTGGGCTGCTGGCGAGAATCTCCTTCCTTGGGGTGCAAGAAGGTGCTCCTGGAGGGCTCATTATTCCCTATTCTGGAACATTTTCTTAAGATCAACTGGCTTGTGTGCAAGCACTAGAAATAGCAGGGCTTGCTTTTAATCAAAACCGAGTAGTGAGGGATGGAAATGTATTGAGGTTCTGACATCCCAGGAACTGCAGTGGGAGCTGCGCGTTTCTGAAATACATCTGAGATGTGAGGAAAATGTATTTTAAATCACACGGTTTTGAAGCGTAGCAAAGCTTTCTTTGGCATTTCCTAGGTGCAAAGGCAGAAAGAAAGGAAGGATTTATATTCCATACATACAAAACTACGAACGTTTTGAAAGCCCTGAGGTTAGGAGTAAGGAACCAGTGAACAAAGCACGTATTGTCTGTCCTAATTTTGCACTACAAGGGAAAGAGAAGCCTTGCCATGTGAGCCCTTCCTTCAGTGCTGATGGTCATTAATGACAAAGTCAGGAAGGAAATGCTGCATGGAGGGAGCTGAAGTATGTGTAACATTACCAACAGGTCGTGCAGGGTAAGGCCTCACCCACCACCTCCAGTTTCCAGTTGCCCACTTCTATTTGTTGCCAGCACATCAGGCAGAAATTCTGCCCTGTGCCAATATTTCACATCAGACTCATCCCCTCACCTGGTCTGCTCAGGCATCCCTCATTCCTGCCCCTCCACAACAGCTTGGGGCCATTTCTTGGATCTCCCCAGCAAAGACAGCTTGGATATCGATGTAACTGCTGCAGGTGTTTCGCTTTGCTGTGAGCGAATTGAGAGAGCAGTGCTTTATGAATTCTGCATGCAGACATCCCTGGGGATGGCTTCCATTGCCAATGATTCCATTTTGCTGACCAGCAGCAGAATGCTGGCTTGGAGCATCCTGGTGCTCCATGTTAACACCTGCCTCAGTAACACATCTCCCTTGGTCTTGCAGCTGAGCTCATTTCAGTCCTTCTGAGCATCTCTCTGGAAAAGCTCTGTCTCAGCATACCCAGCTTTATTCTTACATTTTGCCTGGGGATGGGGTAAACGAGCTTTTCTTTTATTTTTTTATTCCCCGCAGTGTTTGCAGTGCTGCCCACATCCCAGCAGAGTGTTGCACAGTGAGCTCCTCAGGGTCAAGAGGGTTGCAAAGCTCCTGGCACCCAAAGCCAGCAGGAAACCCTCCATAAAGACACACTTTTCTCTATTTATTACTTTTTTCTTCCTTCCTTTAAGCTCTTCCAAGAAGCCCAGCCACATCCAGCATCACTTGCTGCTCTCCAGGTGCCAGGAGCAGATCCAACTTTCGTCTCTGCTCCGTTATTTAAGATGTGATGGGAAAGGACTCGTTTGCAGACCTGTCTGTGCTGACATTTCAAGCAGAGATAATTGGGTGTATTTTTAGCTGCCCACGTTCCGGAGCACTAACTGCACATTTCTGTGAGGTGTGAGTTTATTTAGGGAAGAATTCATGGTTTGAGACTTCAAATAAGAAGCTCATAAAAGCCTACAAATGACCCCAAGTCGTCTCTCCGGCGAGTGGAGAGGGAAGCCACAGTGCTGGAAGAGCAGACACTTCTTTCTGGTTTTGTAGCTCCTGTGAATCTTTTTCTTCCATCAAATGTCAGCACTGTGCAGTGCAGACTTCAGGCTTGGTGCTGCCCAAGGGAGGACATGGCAGGAGCTGAGTGCCTGTGGTTGGCAAACAGAAAATGAGCTGCTGGTGCAGCACTGGTGCACACTGAGCAGGTAGAGGCTCTGGCCCCTGGTGAACTGGGAGCAGATCCCAGAGCTGCACCACCTACACTGGGTGCTGGGCCCAGCCCTGGCTGTGGGATGGCGTGGGTGCTATGCCCATAGCTGGGTGCTGTGCTGGCTCCAGGTGGGGCTGGGCCCCCCCACTCCCTGTGCAATGCTCCCCAGCCCCGCTGCGGTGATTTATGGCTGTGATTTACGCTTGTTTTATTGGAAAATGTGAGTTTGCTAATAGCACCGATGGGAAATGTAAAGATCATTTGAATGCCTGTCTTCAGCTAACAACCATTTATTGTCTGTAGAAAAGGATGTTTGCTGCATTTCTGCTGTAACTGCTTATCTGAAATGAAGATTGATTTCGTTTTCTGAGCACACTGCTGGACTTCTGTGATTGGCTGCCTCTACCATGCTTAACTGGTGTGCACTATGGGTCAGTGCTGTGCCCTTTGCTTTACTGAACTGCATTTCACAGAATCATGGAATGGCCTGGGTTGCAAAGGCCCACAGTGCTCATCCAGTTCCAACCTCCTGCTGTGTGCAGGTCGCCAACCAGCAGCCCAGGCTGCCCAGAGCCACATCCAGCCTGGCCTTGAATGCCTGCAGGGATGGGGCATCCACAGCCTCCTTGGGCAACCTGTTCCAGTGCCTCACCACCCCCTGTGTGAAAAACTTCCTCCTAATATCCAACCTAAACCTCCCCTGTCTCAGTTGAAAACCATTCCCCCTTGTCCTATCACTATTCAAATCCATCTGGCCCTGAAAGCAAACAAGCAACAAATGCAGACAGAATCAGAAACGGAGCAGAGCGCTGCCTGCTGGTTCCGTACAGCTCAGGGCTGATGTGCCAAATCTGTGATGTGCTGGCACAGCTCCTCACCTCCATTCATAACGCGTTAAGCCATGGGAGAGCAAAGGGATAAAAGGTTGGGGCAGAAGTGTAAATGACAGGGCACATAGTCGGGAGAGGTTTTCAAGAAGAGAAGTGATAGAGCTGGTTTGAACTTTGGGATCTCTCAGCTTTGCACTTCCTTAGCTGCCTTTATCCCCTGATTTGAGCTTGTATTTGCTTATGAACCAATCTGATGATTCACGGTGGAATTTTCTGTTCTGCAACCTAAGAACATTTAGGAACTCGATTTGAATTTGAATTGGAAACCCCCACATGGGTTTCCTGAGTGGCTTTGCATCCCAATGAGTGTTTCCTTCTGCTGCCAGCATCACTGTTTGTATCAGCAGCACACCTAATTGCTGAGAAATAATCCGTTCGTGGTTTGGATGGGAAAAGGGTTCTGGGCTTTTCCTAATGGCATCACTGCTGGATCTGGGTTCAGTTAGGAAGCCCAGTATGGCACCGTGTGGTGCAGAGGGAATGAGAGCTCGAGGCAGTTCCATGGTGCCTTGACTTTCTCCTACAGTTGCAGTGGCACTGTGGAGCTCCTGGCAGCACCGAGCAGGGCCATAGATTCCAGGGCAGCCTGCTTGTCTCCAGCAGCACTCCGCTGAAGGACATTGCTGAGCATCTCTCATTCTCTTCCCCACTCACATTGTTTCCTTACCTCATCGCATGCGACAGGAGGCAGACGTTCGCAGTCTGCGAGTCTCTCCGGGAGCAAGAAGAATTGGGTGAATTGAATTGCAGCAATTAGGACAAAATAGTTTCCTTTGCACTGACGTGGCTCCCGCAGCCGGAGCGTTGGGGTTAATAATGTAACCAGCGATAGGACGGGAGGTGACGGCCTCACCTTGTGCCGGGGAGGGTAGGGCTGGGTTTAGGAGGCAGACGAGCAGTCAGACACTGGGAAGGGGAAGGGAAGGGGAAATGAAGTTTGCATAAGCTGTCGTAAAGCTCTAATGAAATCCTCGAAATGTCCCCCGCACCCAGACGTGATTGGAAATGTGACTGGAAGTTCTATTTTTGCTCCCGGTTTGAAAACGTGCGGTGGTGCGATGTTCGTTCTGACGCGTCCCCCCGCAGTGCGCTCCGGGTACCGCCGCTGCCCCCGGGCTCGGGCACGGAGAGAAGGTCAGCGCGGCCACCGCACATCGGGGCTCTCCCGGCCGCATCGCTCAGCGTGCCTTATTGCCGGCAGCTCGAGCGCACAGCGGCTGCGAGCTCCCATCCCTGCCGCTAGCTTTGCACCTTTTGGTGCCCTGCGCGTCCCGGAGCGCAACCCGGGGCTCCGCGGGGCACTGCGGAGGAGGAGGCGGGGATGATGCTCTGATGGGCGGTGCTGGGAGAGGCGGTACCCGCACTGCCCGGGGCCGCCCCGCACCGCCTCTGCCGGCGGCTCCGCGTGGGTGGCGGCCGCGCAAAGCGGTGCCTCCGCGCCCGCAGAGCGGCGGCGCCGGGGCGCGGTGCGGTGCGGTGCCGCGCGGAGCGGAGCGGAGCATGTCGGCGCTGAGGAGGAAGCTGGGCGATGAGTACCAGGTGGTGAGCACCTCGGCCAGCGGAGGGGGGCTGCCTCCGCCCCGGGCGGCCCCGCGGGGGAAGCGGCAGCGCTTCGTGGATAAGAACGGACGGTGCAACGTGCAGCACGGGAACCTGGGCGGTGAGACCAGCCGGTACCTGTCCGACCTTTTCACCACGCTGGTGGACCTCAAGTGGCGCTGGAACCTCTTCATCTTCGTTCTCACGTACACCGTGGCCTGGCTCTTCATGGCCTCCATGTGGTGGGTGATCGCCTACATGCGGGGCGACCTGAACAAGGCTCACGACGACAGCTACACCCCCTGCGTGGCCAACGTCTACAACTTCCCCTCCGCCTTCCTCTTCTTCATCGAGACCGAGGCCACCATCGGCTACGGCTACCGCTACATCACGGACAAATGCCCCGAGGGCATCATCCTCTTCCTCTTCCAGTCCATCCTCGGCTCCATCGTGGACGCCTTCCTCATCGGCTGCATGTTCATCAAGATGTCCCAGCCCAAGAAGAGGGCCGAGACCCTGATGTTCAGCGAGCACGCGGCCATCTCCATGCGGGACGGCAAGCTCACCCTCATGTTCCGCGTGGGGAACCTCCGCAACAGCCACATGGTCTCAGCGCAGATCCGCTGCAAGCTGCTCAAGGTAAGGCACTGCCGTAGAGTCGTATCGCAGAGCCACGGGACGGGGTGGGCTGGAAGGGACCTCAGACATCGTAGGATCACAGAATGGTTGGCTTGGAAGGGACCTCGCAGCCCCCAGCCCTGCCGTGGGCTGGCTGCCCCCCAGCTCAGGCTGCTCAGGGCCCATTCATGGCCACGGGCACCTCCGAGGATGGGGCATCACAGCTCTGGGCAGTGCCACGGCCTCACTGCCTCTGGTTAAAGGATTTCTTCCTGAGACATCATCCCTGTATAATAATGTTTACATTCCATGCTCTTTCACATGTAGATACTTATCAGATTCTAGATTCTTTCTCTGAGAGGTAACTGCTTGATAGCTGGAATTGCTTGGTGTGTATTTTCAAAGGGACCTGTCTGCCTTCCTGGCACATTTCTGCACCCTTGGAGGCTCCAGCTAGAGAGAACTTCATTTCTGTGGTGCATGAACTTCACACAAAGCTGAATGTCGGGGTTAGATGTGCAAAAGCCATGCTAATGGCCCTGCAAGTCTAAGGAAAAATAAGTGTGAGGCATTACCAAGGAAAATTGAATATCTATTTGAGACTCATTATTATGGTTTTTTATATAGGTGAGCTGAAATAAATATGCAGTGGATGGAAGGGGATGGCTCAGGTGGTGTTTGGCACACACACAGCATCCTGCACATTTCCCAGCTGTGGGGGACGTGGTGCTGGGTGTTCTGGGGGCCCCGCTCTGAGGCATCCCCCTCTGTCTATGAGAGATGCTCTTGTTCATCTGCTGCACCCGGCCCCAGTGATACGCAGCTGCCTTTTGCTTGGAGGCATCAGAAGGTGCAGCGCTTTCACCCCAATGGGTATTGCTGGTGGGGTTCTGTGGGCTTGCACCAAGCAGGGCCCCCACTGCATCCCAAATAACGGGGCTGGGATGGTGCTGGGGATGCTCGGAGTGGATACATCCGTTCTTGGTCCTTTCTTTCTGAGCAGTCGGCTGGGGCTGGGGCTCTCTTGTGCTGATATGAGCGAACCCCAATTATTGGCTCATTCAGAAGTTGGATGGTGGCACAGTGTGCACCGAGCCCCAGGAGCAGCCCCGCTTCTTGGAGCGCAGTGCGGTGACCGCCATGCCCTGCACATGGAATAAGCTGTGTGCATATGGCTTTGGAAAGGCTGAGAGGGTCCTTTCTGTCACAGATATATTAAAAAAAAAAGCCAGCTCTGTTTATGTCCGAATGGAACAATTCCAATGGAATTTTGAAAGTTGGTGCTTACCACTTGGTGTGGCTCCATGCAATCTGTGCAACTTTGAAGCCGCCTCCCCAGAAGTCCTGTTCTGTGATAATGCTGGAAGGACCCGAGAGCAGAAGGCTTTGCTGCTGTTTTTTGTTTCTTTGTTTGTTCGTTTTTCTTCCAAAAGTGAATGGTGCCACAGTGGCTTTTCAGACAAAGTGGTGATCATTGCATGGGGACAGAAACTGCTGTGAAAGTGCTCCTCTGGGAGTTCTGTCCGTGGGCACCGCAGTGTGCGCTCAGTGGAGAGCAGTGCAGAGCTGTGCCTGCTTGCTGCTGCCCTGCTGCTTTCCACATTGTCCTGCTGGTAGATGCTATGGACAGTTGGAAAGCCTGAGAATTGCTTTGTTGTTATTTTTTTCTCCCTGCTAAGAAGACGGTGTAGGGAAAAAAGCAAACTGTAATGGAAAATGCTAACACAGAATTACTGCAAAACCTCGCTCGTGGCGGAGCTCCTTTTGCAGAATGGATCTCCGTGGTTGTGAGGAGCTGAGAGGAACACTGGCAGTGCTTTGCTTTGGTGCCCATGTGATGCTGGGTCAGAACAGTCGCCCAAGGTCTTTTTTCTCCACAAGTGTATTGACCAGAACAGCAAAATGGTGCATGATGGGGGTGGTTATGCCCTGAGCTCAGTCCTGCCTGGCGCTCCGGAGCAGCTGTGATGGTGCCTAGGATGGGTTTCCTGGGACCCCGGAGGAGCTGCAGTAGGGGCACAACAATTTGTCTGTTTTTAACCTTTTCCCCATCATTTTCTTCCTCTGTCAGCACATCAGCTTGGATACATTTCCTTTTCCAGTGTCCTTAAAGTACCGCATTCTCTTTAACACCCATTTTTATTGATCCTCTCTCGGTTACGATGTCTGTCGTACAACATCACCTCTTTGCAATCAGCACCTCAGCCTTCACCACCTCCTGTCCTCGGGTTCCTGCCCTGCACCCACATTTTGGGCAGCTCCCTGGCATCCTGCTGGGACCGCGCCGCTCCTCGCCCCGTGTGCGTGCTGTGCTGGCTGCCTTGCCCAGCTTCTGCCTCCTGGCTGAAAAGCAGCAGACTTCTCAGGAGGGAAGGAGCCTTCGGCCACCAGGCAGATGTTTGTGCAGATGTGCTCTGTGTGTTCCTTGGCTCTGTGCGTGAAGCCGTGGCGCTGGGCAGGGCGATGTGGGTGCGATGGGTCGCAGTGCTCACATGCACAGATGAAAGCCCATTTCTCAGCTGGAACTCCAGGGCACTGGGAGACATCATTGTTTCGCTGGGATTACATCTTCCGATCCAGCCACGTTCTGTGAATATTGTAAAAATAGAAACCAAATCCCAGCGAGGCGCTTAATCCCTTTCTGTTCCGCTCTCTCCCTTTTCCTGCAGTCTCTCTGCAGCTCCCACCCGGCCATGGGGCTCCACGGGGCACGCTGTGGGCAGTGCTGGAAATGCATTTCAGGCAGCGCTGGAACGTTATTTCGGGGCTCTACGTATGGCAAACACGAATTCATAAAGCTTTTCTTAAACCCAAATAGAGACTAATGGGAAACTGTAATAAAAATAATGATTGGGAAGGGGTGTAATGTTCTGTTCCTTCCTATTCACAGCGCCGCGAGGAGGAATAAAGAGTGAGGAGTAAAGCAGGAGGGAGCCCTCGGTGTGATGTGAGGGTGCTGTGTGAGCCCATGCCTTGATTTGGGGCTTGGGGCCTTCCTCCCACCATGACCCCTGTCCCTGTGCTCTCCCCCAGTCCCGCCAGACACCCGAGGGTGAGTTCCTGCCGCTGGACCAGCTGGAGCTGGACGTGGGCTTCAGCACAGGTGCCGACCAGCTCTTCCTCGTCTCACCGCTCACCATCTGCCACGTCATCGATGCCAAGAGCCCCTTCTACGACCTGTCCCAGCGCAGCATGCAGACGGAGCAATTCGAGATCGTCGTCATCCTGGAGGGCATCGTGGAAACCACGGGTGAGTCGTGGAGCAGATGCTCCGCCGTGCAGATGTCGGCCTGCAGGGCTTGCTGCTGCTCAGGCTGCCTGCTGAAGGCTGTGCATGATTAAAATGTGAATATTTCCAGACGGCCAAAGTCTTATTTTCATTGAAAGTCAAAATAATACAGTGATTTTTCTTTTTTTGGAAATGTATTTATTACATTCAAAGTGAAAATATTCAACTGATTTTTTTTGGAGATGTATTTGTTACCAAAGCAATGCTCTGTGTGAGGTGGCAGAATCCCTGTTTCCTTTCAGGGATTTTTTCCTTTCAGTGTCACTGGCTTGTGCTCGAGTAGGATTTCCTGGAGGACAAAACACGATGCCATTAGATCCTGCAGCACTGCCCACGGTGTGGTTGGGTATCCTTTGGCATCACCCTATGGTACTGTTGGGTGTCCTTTGGCATTGCCCCATGGTACAGTTGGGTGTCCTGCAGCATTGCCCCATGGTACAGTTGGGTGTCCTGCAGCATTGCTCAGTGGTACAGTTGGGTGTTTTTTGGCATCACCCCATGGTACAGTTGGGTGTTTTTGGCATCACCCCATGGTTGGTATGGTTGGGTGTCCTGCAGCACTGCTCAGTGGTATGGTTAGGTGTCCTGCAGCATTGCTCAGTGGTACAGTTGGGTGTTTTTTGGCATCACCCTATGGTACAGTTGGGTGTCCTTTTGCATTGCCCCATGGTACAGTTGGGTGTCCTTTTGCATTACCCCATGGTGCAGTTGGGTGTCCTGCAGCATTGCTCAGTGGTACGGTTGGGTGTCCTTTGGCATCACCCCATGGTACGGTTGGGTGTTTTTGGCATCACCCCCTGGTTGGTATGGTTAGGTGTCCTGCAGCATTGCTCAGCGGTACAGTTGGGTGTTTTTTGGCATCACCCTATGGTACTGTTGGGTGTCCTTTTGCATTGCCCCATGGTACAGTTGGGTGTCCTGCAGCATTGCACAGTGGTACGGTTCGGTGTCCTTTGGCATCACCCCATGGTTGGTACGGCTGGGTGTCCTGCAGCATTGCTCAGTGGTACAGCTGGGTGTCCTACAGCACCACCTGGGCACTGGAGCTGTGGTCAGACCTGGGCTGGGAGCTGCTGCCATGCCCTGCTTTACTTTCTGCTGTCTGGCTTCATCAGAAGGATGCTTCGTGGGGATACTCTGAATGTCTTTACCATTTTTCCAGCATTTCTGTGCTGCACAGCTTTGCTCACATGGGTAGCAATCCCACAGAACGTCAGGCTGCAGCATTTCAGTAACATCAGCCTTCAGCACCAGCGAGGCCATAGCAGCAGCTAAGAATCCTTGCTGCTTTTCAAGAAAACTGCTGTGCATGGTTCAGCTGCTTCCTGTTGGGGCTGCCAGGCTGATGCTGCTCAGGGGGCTCCAGGGCCGTTCAGCAGCATGGTTTCAAAATACTGCTGCCCAAAGAAAAGGGATTTTGTAAATAGCCCATCAGAATTTGGAACAGGAAGTCGTGTGATGCTATACTCCATAGATGTTTTATTTTTCAACGTAGACATACACAGAACAAGAAAAACAGGAGGTATTTTCTGGATTTATAAAGCCTAACTCGTGTAAGCTTGCAAATGTTGTGACCTAGTTTTGTGAGATGAGATGAATATTGGGTAAAATCGAGCACAGTGAGTTCTATCTCGATGAAACGTGGAGGGATGAAAGGGTTTTAAAGAATCTTTAATTTTGTGAGTAGAGGAGGAAGGCCCTGCAGAGCAGCCTGGTGGTGTCAGGCACACAGCAGAGGCTTGAAATGCTTTCTGCTGGTGTGGAAAGAGCGGTGGAACGGAGGGGCCAGAAATAACTCGCAGTTGTTCAGAAGCTGGGCTCCTATTTTTGGTTCTGTGTACAAATGTTGACTGCTTTTCAGTTTGCCTGGGAAAATGAGAAATGTGAAAAGTTGCTTCTTTTTGCCGTGAGTTCAGATTGCATCACCATCTCGGTGCCCACTGCGTGGCGTGTGGTTGGAACACGTTCCTTGCTCTGCTGGAATTATGGTTGGCTTTAATGGTGAGGAGACCTTATAGGGTGGTCTGCTGTGTCCCCTTCCAGTATTGGTTTCCTCCCCCCTCATCCCTGCTGAGCTGAATGCAGAGCTGCCCACCTGGCAGCCCTGAGAGCTCCCTTGGAGGCAGTCAGTCCCTGCCCTTCTATCACCTCCTGCAGGGAAACCATCGCCCTTATTCCACATCATTCATTATTAAACAATATGAAATTGGATTTTCAAACCCAAAAGACTGCGTTTGCACTGTGAGAATGGGTGAGTTTGAGTCATTTTGCAGTGTTGGTGGTTGGTTGGGCATCTGATGGCAGCACCCCTCCCAGTGCTGTGCATTGTAGGGCTGCGTATTTATAGAAGAGGCTTTGGTATTCATCACCTCTTCAGCTCCTGGAGTTTAAAGGGAGATCCAGTGCTTTCTGCCCATGCTCCTGCTTTGTTTTCCAAGTAAATTATTTTCTGTGTGTGCCCATAAAGTGCTGCAGAGCTGCACTCAGACCCACAGCATCCCTTGTGGTTAACAGGGCGCTGCGTCTTCAGAGATCTGCTCGTGCCAAAGCCTAGAGCTGGGAAGCCAGCAAATCAGAGAGAAGAGCAGAAGAGTATCTGTTTCCTGCTGTGTTCTTAGTGCTGCTCCTGTTTGCACTGCCATGGCAGGAGCTGCCTTTGGTCTGAAGCAGAGCGAGGCAAAGTGAGCATGATGAAGGAGAATCATAGAATCATAGAATCATACAGCGGTTGAGTTGGAAGGGACCTCAAGGATCACGAAGCTCCAACCCCCTGCCACACGCAGGGTCACCAACCTCCATGTTTAATACTAGACCAGGCTGCCCAGGGCCCCATCCAACCTGGCCTTGAACACCTCCAGGGATGGACGGGGATCCACAGCCTCTCTGGGCAGCTGTTCCAGCACCTCACCACTCTCATAGCAAAGAACTTCCCCCTGACATCCAACCTCAATCTTCCCTCCCTCAACTTCAAACCATTTCCCCTTGTTCTGCTGTAATTTACCCTTCCAAAGAGCAGAGCCAACACAAGCTTTGGGACTTGGCTCCATGGCACCATCAGGACTCCCTGCCTGCTGTGAGACCCTCCAGCATTTGATTCTCCTACAGATCACAGTTTTGAATTACAAGGTTTTGTTGATGTTTCTCTTTGGCTTTGTTTTGTGCTTCCAACTTCCGATGAGCGGCGTTACCCAGGGCTTGGGGGAGTGGTAAATATGTACAATAGATGTGCTGAGTGGCAGCAGGGACGCAGCAGTCTCTGGGAGAAGTGAGCTGCGTTCCCTAAGCGGGCGGTTCTTCCTCACGAGCCCCGCTTGGCTGATTAAAATCACCATTTCCGATGCCTTCTCTCATTAAATCATGTAAAAGTGATTTCTCATAGATGCCTCCCAACTTGATTAAATTATTTCACTGCCTCGTCACTGACATTTTAATTTCTGGGAATATAAACATTGCTTTACGCTTTCCATACCCTCCTTAATTACAGCTTCGGGTTGTTTAGATACCAACACGCGGTGCATTTTTGGGGCTTTCTGAGCGTTGCTGTGGTGGAGGAGGAGGAGGGGGGATGTGGGGCCGGGTTCCTTCTGTGCCCACCCCATGGCTGAGCCCCGGGGGCTGCATGGGAATGCCCAGGGATGCTCGGGATGTTCTCCAGGCTCTGTTTATTTCGGGTTTTTGGAGCGTTGGCTCCGATGGAGGAGCCTCACAGCTGAAGTGCTCAAATGGCTTTTCAGCATTCAAAGGCGGTTATGATTCATGAGGGTAATTGCTAATCATTTTGGATTATTTTTGATATATCACCAACCCCTCCATTATTATGATAGCATGTAATTTGGGAGAGCGCTCGGAGCGTTTATTTTCACAGCCCATTGTCCCGGTTTCACGCTGTTGTGATGCAGCATCCCGGCCCCACTGGCAGCACTGGGACTGCCCAACCTTGCAGGTGGAGCTGGAGGGGCTGGGAACCCCCCAGCCCTCTGTCTGCCTTTGGGAACACGGAGCCCTCCAAACCGCTGCCATTGCTGGATGAGGAGCTGGTAGTACGAGCCTGAAATAGGCATGAACCCAGCAGGGATCTGCATCACTCCGTCCTCAGAACTCGTGAAATGGTATTTTGAAAACCTCTTAACACCGTTTTCCGATGAAAGAAATCAAACAGCCTGCCAGGTTCTTTAATTGAACGAGCAGAGAATGGGAATCAAAGGCACATTCCACTGTTCTTAACTTCTAGAAGCAAGCACGAATAGCGTGAATGGCGGAGATGCGGTCTCCGTGGAAAGGTTTATCTCAGGAGCAGCCACTTGTGAATGATTGCAGTACTGGAGCGACTCGAGGGAACCAAGAGCTGCAATACGAAGCTTTGCATTTGGGTAATAGGTTTGGTAATAGAGCTACTTAAAACATTGTTCCCATGTGTGGTTCTCAAGGTCGCGTAGATGTAACGAAACCACCGCTTGCACTGAGCGAAGTTGGAGGTGGAGTGAAAAATGTATTTGTTCTCTGTTTTCCTTTTATCGTGCCATTTATATCTTGTGTTGGCTGGGGGGGTTGGGATGCAAGGGGGGGAACATACTGTGGGCAGAAGGCAGGAGGGATAAAACTGCTCGGGTGCTCTGGACAATCCCAACCCAGTGCTGGGGTACAGCAGGCACTCGCATGTCATGATATGATTCTATGGTGGGGGCAGATCAGCACATCTTTTTCCAGTGCTGGCATCACTAGGAGCTGCTCGGGGCCTGAAGCCTCCACGGCTCTTCCCTTTTCTTCCTTAGATGTCTTCTGAGATACAGAAGAGACAAATGGCAGTCGTTCTCATCTGGAGTTCTGCAGAAGCTTTGCTTTCATCGTATATAATCTAAACAAGCAGTGATTCATCAAAAGTCACGTCTTTGTAAGGATACTTGTTTGCTTCAAACCGAAATGAGCAAAGTGTGAGTGTTCTACAGCCCCTGCAAGGCTGTTGCTGAGTATGGGTGCTAGGAGGATCTCCAACCATCAGTGGTGTTGCACAAAACGCTTGGAGATGTGCTCAGTGAATGCATCTCGTCATCTGTTGTAGGTAG